TTCCTGCACCTGTAAATAAATGCTGTCTGTCTATAGTTTAATAAGGGCTCTGGGCATTTTGGCCCTCGCTCAACCAACCCCTGCTAGCAGATGTAATGCAATCCAAAATGATGGAAATGCTTAGCTTCTGTTTGGATAAGAGCTTACTTTCAGACTCAGTTTTATGAAAATAGGAGCTTGCCTGAAGTTAATCCAACTAAGTTATTCCAATCCTCTGCATGCCTAATTGCATCACAGCTAACACAACTAATTAAGAAGGAATTCCTTTCCTTTTTTTTAACTTTATGTCACAGTGACACGACCGATGATATGTATTCCTGAGGCCACAGATTCTGCCCGCACTGCATGTAAATCAAGAGTTTTCAAATGAACTATTTCCATTGTTCTTAATGCTGTTTTGTGCTTAAACATCTAAAGTAGAGAGGAGGATGTGGGAAGAGGTGATCTGAACTGAATTAATTCAGTTTTATTTCCTGTGCTCGTCAGATTTAGACTAAGCATCTAACTGAGATGAATAGAAATCGATGATAATAAACTGGCCTAATTGTAGCGATTTAATAAAGAGAAACAGAAAAGAGATTAAAAAGCAAAGAAGTCATTTTGTTAGAAAAGGTCAGATGTAAAGATTCGAAGCCAAATATATACCCAGTTTCCTCTTAATGGAAATTAATGTGGATATATGAAGTCCACTGTGTCCACTGAGCATAAGTGACCCCTACTGTTAAACCATTTGCATAAAAATTAAGCTTCCTGCCTTTATAAATCTCTGAGGTTTGATGCCAGCATCGGGAACTTCACATAGTCACTAGTTAGGTTGATGGCGAATCTGTAATGGTCCAGCTACTATAGTAGAGTAAAAAGATTACAGCCCACACACTGATTTGACCTTAACACAAATATTCTCTATAATGCCTTACAGTACATTAAGTCTTCAAAATATAATGTCTAAAAATTGCTGCTCTGGCAGCTTGGCCTGAATAAAAACAATTTTATGGGGCATCAGTGTGTAGGCTATGTTCTGTTTACTCTACTAGTATTTATCCTTGGCCTGTAGACCTGAAGCAAAAAGGTTTATTTTGGGGAGGTGCATGTACTTTCCCGTGTACATATTTATCCGCTCCTTTAGAAGCCTTGCTGCCTTTGCTCTCCCTTTTCGTCTCTATTTCCTTATCTTGTTTCTTCCCAATGTTTCTATAGGCTCTACTATCACTGTCATTTGCTGTACTTTGTGTATTAAAATCACCTCACAAAAAACGGGCAAAAGAAATAACAAGAAAATAAGCCACAAACAAAAGCCATGGATGACTCATATCGGCTGTCAACAAACGCTTTGTCTGTCTGAGTGTGTTTCTACTATAATGGAGCTTATCACCCACCCCACCCTCTTTGTTTCTTTCTTTGAATCAATGTGATTACAATCATTTCCCAGCAGGATAAATTGGGGTGCATGCTGTGTATGTCATTACCGCTCCAAGCTCTGACACCAGTCACTAATATGACTGTAGTCCAGGTTGCCCTTTCTACATCCCACAGACAAATGCATTCTCTGTCATCTCAGCCTGTAAATTACAATAAAGCTAAAATGATTTCCCTGAAAGACTGGACACTTCTATCCCTGGAATCAAGGATCAGGCTTTGATTAATTCCAAATGTGCTTGATGTTTAGAGCCTAGAGCCTTAAAACATGCCTAAAGCATATTGGAGTGTGTCTTTTAATAAAGGTTTTTGTTGGAGAAGAGATGATGAGACAAAAAAAAAAACACTGAATCTTATATCCTTTGAGAACAGTCTTGATTTGATGGAGGTGATTTGATACAAATTTTCCAGCAGAAGGAGAAACATTATTACATGTCCAAAAGACATAATTTTGAGCTTATAAAAGTAAAATCGGAGGTGCTCGTTGATGCATTATTTCATTGCATTTCTCATGTCATTCCAAAATATTCTCATTCTCTGCTTTTAGATGAACATTTTTTACCATGATAAGCAGTTAAACATCATTTATTAACACTTGTGGTTGTTTGAGTTTATGTTTTTTTTTTAATTAAAGTTGTGAGTCCCTTGTGTTTAGGTAAATGTGAAAGCAGCACTGGAATGGCAGACTCTGCCACTACCAACAAAAAAATGCTAGAGGTCATTATAAAATGTTAATACTTTGAATGGCTGCAGAATTGATGAAACTCTTAATTCCAAAGCCTGACAGAATGGCCCAGTAATTAATATATTTATTTTCCTCATTGCAGCAATTTAGTACATTTTAACATGAATCCATGAAAGCAAATGCTATAAAAATACATTTTTATCTATAGTTAGAAGGTGGGCCTCAGACTCATTAAGATGTTAAGGGATTGATGTAACATAAGACTTGCACTGTGACAGGCAGACCACTACAGTATTGTGTGTGTTTGTTCATAAAAGAAGAGGTGATAGTTGAGGTGTGTTTGAAGGCCATGACATGCTCACCCCTGGACATGGGAACATAGCTTATCCTTTCACACTAAGGTGGCATATTTGAAACATATTAAGGAAATAATTCCAGTAAATAAAATTTAATTTGATTTGATATTAAAGCTCCAAACACTGCTTGAGGTTTTTGACGGAGATATTCACTCAGTAATTGACTGCCATGATCCTGTGAACAGAGTCCCCTGCAGACCTCCCTTTTACATGTCATTGATTCAGGACAAGACCACAAATCCTCCCGAACAATAAAAACCTGCAGTTACAAGCAGCTACTTCCTTATACCCTCAGATGTTACTCTACTGAGAAGTTTTAGGAACCAGTATATGCTGGCTCTTTGAGGAAGTGTCGAGTTTTGTCTGAAATAACCAATAAAAGCTGTGACACTGCCCACTTATGACCATATTTGCATTGCACAGTACTTAGCTGACATTGGTTAATTTCCCAAAATACGATGCTCAAGTTACAGTATATATGATGTAATGAGTAAATAGCTGACTATTTTATCTGAAGTATTTTCTGATGAATCTGTCTATATAATCAGCAGCAAGCAGTAAGGCAAATATATTAAAATCATTAATAATCATTGTTTGATTCACTTACAACTCTACAAATCAACAACTATTTTTAATCATCAATCTAAGCTATTGCTCTGATTACAGTTAATATAGTTGAACTCTCCTATCTTTGACAGGTGGGGCTTTGCCTTTACTGACCACTCTGCTTTAAAACCCTGGGGATTAAAATAACATTCCCTGCCACTGACATCTGAACAAGACAGCTGAAAAGAGAACAAGCTGGGAAAATGGAGACGTTCATGAAACACATTGTGTGTCATGCATATAAGACTCAGCAAGGTGTAAAATGGGCTGATTAAAATGCTCATTTGCAAAAACATTACAGCACATTGTTATCAGAAGACCAACACACAGATTTCCCACAGATTCACTGCAGGTCTTTTAGAGATATTAAAACATATAATTGAGTTGCATGTAAATGTGGCCCGGAAAGAAAAAGGAAATTTGCTGTGCATAAGGAAGGTCTGATGCATCTGCCCTTTAGCTAATGGCCTTGTACTGTACATATTTCCACAGCTAGATTTACACTCAAGAGCTGCACAGGATCCAGGATATCCTCACACTTCTCCTGTTATAGTCCGTGAGCAGCTCTGCTGGAGCAGATGTGCACTAAATGCCTTCCTGAAGCTGTTTGGGAGAGCATTAGTCAGTCACAATTTCCACCTGGAGAACAAACTGCTTCCACAAACCTGAGGCAACTGCTTCATCTGTTCTGATTTATTTATTTTATTCAAAATTTTAATATGTCTAAATGCTGAAATGCTGAAATGCCTCTTCACCAACACTACTTGCTCATAATATGTCCTGTGAAACAAATTTTAATTGAATATAAATGAACACAATTAGTTGTACAAAAAAAATTTTGTCATAGCTTTTTCACATTGTTAAATTGTCAGTATTTAGGTTGGTTTAGTCTAGTTTGCACCGAGGAAGAAGCCGGCAGGTTTTATTGTGTTTCAGCCATTTACCCCTTAATTTTAGTCAGTTGTTTCAACTGTTCATCCACTACTCTGAGCAGTCTATTTCAACCATTGTAGTTTTTAGCTACAGTAGATGCAGAAGTAACCCAGGTTGGGTTTATCACTGATATAGGTTCGATTCAGTACATTGTCATTATGACTGTGTGTCGGAAGGGAGCTGCCTGGCAGGGGAAAGAGAACGACTCAAAGAACCTAGAGCTAGGGATAGGGACTGAAGATATTTTTTGTTTTGTAGCCTTAAATAAGTTGTTTTTAGGGACCCTGGAAATTTTTGTGGCACCCATGAGCATGCAGCTGTACTTCTGATTTATTTTTAAGCTTACATGGGCCACATTTCCAGTCAAATGCTATTAGGTGCATAGAGAGCCAGATTATCTTTCACTATTCTGCTGTAACACTAGTCACTAATGTTTCTTCATCATCATCTTAATTCCAAATTTATATAGAGACAGAATGTCTGTATCATTTCTTGCATTTTGTTCCTGGAATGACTTAGCAACACTGTATTTTTAAACAATCTATTTCTGCTGCGAGTTTATTGTTTTAAATATTTGGAGCTCCCTTTGTGACTCTATATCTTGTAGCACAGTTGTGCAACAGAGCAGTGTATTGAATTGTTTTAGACTGCAGTGACAAAAAGACTGTTGAGATGACATAGTACAAGGTCATGGCTGACAGATTACTGCGTGGCCAAGAGGGGCTGGAGGAAGTAGGAGCATACTAATTTGTTCCCATTCAGTGAGAGTGTGAAACAGCGGGACTCTTTACTGTTTGTGAAGTCATCCTGTTCACATAGCCTCAGCTGTGTGTGTATCCTTACAGAAGAACGAACTGATTCCCTTAACATGAGCTCAAGAAATACAGAAATCAGATTGTGTGCACACACTAAGAAACCATGTGACATCTCATACATGGCTGCTTTGCTACAGTAAATGCATAAAAATTAGAAACTGATCAGTGTACATTTGTTCTTTGCCATAGATTTACGGAGTTTCTGGAGCCCTTTGAGAGAGTGATTCAACCGGAGGAGCTCTGGCTCTACAAGAATCCTCTAGTTGAGTCAGACCACATTCCCAAGAGGGTTATGTTCGTAAGTACCTGCTGCCTAATGATGTTTTCCTCATATTACAGAATTGATTGGCACTAAATACTCATTAGTGTGGTCTGGATGAACCACATCTTCTGCTTAATTCTAAGTAATCCGTGTGTTGCAGAGGTCCTTTGTTTAGGATGATCATTATTGTAAAGCCTCTCTCCATCATAGTTAAGGTGAGGCCTGAATTATGTTAATAGAGAAGAAAAGGGCATGTACATGTAGCTGTGGTGCTTCTAATATAAATATTATCTGCTCTTGGCTGGCAGTGGGTGGCGTAGGGTAAGATGAATTTCTAACAGATACAGCATGGACTCAAAATATTTTTCCTCTGGCTCATACCCTACACAGTGAACCTGAAGTCTCTCTTGGCAAACACTCCTGTCCACCATGTACTAGACTGTCTGCACTGATTTTGCTCTCTGTACATTTGTCAGCAACAGCTACTGGCTTCACTGCACTTAAAATATAACATTTTGGGAATATAAAGCTCATTCTAACAGCGATGTGATTCATATATTGTTTTCAGACTCAAATGGTGGATATCAGATCATCCAGTTTTCAATGTTTGGGCAGAGATCTCAAAACAGAGTTGTAGATGGAGAGTTGTCCACCACCCCTATTTAGTTACTAAGACAACTTGTCATCCATCTACAACTCTGTTTTGAGATCTCTGCCCAAACATGTCCACCAGGACAATGGGCGTCGGTCCACAGGTGAGGGTTCAAAGACAGCTAACGACGCTCACCGATACAGGGCTATAAAACTTCAGTCGTTAAGGGACATTGCTGGGCATCAAAGGACTGAAACACCACCGATAGGGATAAATATCTCCGACTCAACGCCAGTTGGGCAGAACGGATGAAGCCTCTTGGATGAGAGGTGGAACGTCTTCGACTTAAAACCAAGTCTAGTTGATTTTTTTTTACGTTTTTTCAGCAATATAGTAACAGTTAATGTATAACATGTAATGTGAAGTAAAACACAATAGAATGGGTTATAGTGTGAGTAAATAAAGTGCTTGTGTAACAGCAGCATTGCATTGACCTTTTGTCATGTGTGCTGCTCTCTGGGAGAGGTCAGAAGTCTTCCACTTAGTCAGAACATTTTGCAGGATGTTTTCGAAAAGAGAAGAGAATCTAAGGGATCTAGAATCTAAGCGACTCTTACTGCTTTAGAAAGAAAATGTGACCATCAGTCTAATTATCCAGGCCTGCTAGAAGAGTGTGCTCTGTATAAAGGTTAGTAGAGTTTTTGTGACAAGTGAAAAAACCTACAGAACTAGAAATTAGAAACTCATTTAGTGTGATTCTATGAGAAATGTCAGTGAAGTATTTTGTGAACCAGAATTTCAGTTAATCATGTCACTGACAGGTTCACATGCCGGACATATTTGTCTGTGTGCTAACTTGTCAGAAGGACTTAATGTCTAATCAAAATATCAAACTAACTTAACCCACTGTTGTGCCTGCCTGTTCCTTGTTCAGCTCACATCCTTGTGAACTGACTGACTGACTGACTCCATTCATTTCTTCACATGTGCAGAACCAGCTGCACATTATTTGGTGAGTGCTACAGCAGCTCTCAGTCATTTCAAGCTACAGATGATGACAGCTGTATTGTTAAAATATGTAATACTTTCCCCTCTTCTACAAATGGTTGAATACATATAATATTGATGCTGGATGTTGAAGCTTGGTTTGGCTCCACTTTAGAAGCCTCTTTACCAGACCAATTCAACCAGCAATCAATGGACAGTAAAAGGGTAAAACATTAGGTGGATTTTCTTGTCAATTTAAAAAAATAAAAAACAACTGAGCTTTAAACTGCACATCAATAAGTCATTTGTTGGGTATTTTTTCTAAGCACTAGACAATGCAGTCTTCATACAAAGCCTCTACCAGACAAACTGAAAACACACCCACACATAATTAAACGTCCTGTGCCATTTGCCTGTGATACAGAAAGTCCAGATGGAAGCAACAGATAAACCCTTGAGCTTATCTACAACTATCTGCCCTCTGTTATTTCTTTTTTCCTTTATCTACATGCTTCATAAAAATGTTGATAGTTTATATTAAGTCCAGTGTCAACTGATCTGTGCTGATGACAGGCTACAATATTATGAGTGGCAGAGAAAGCCCTCTCCCGCCACTTTGGGAAAATACTCCAAGTGCTGATCCCCAGCAGTAAGGCTTTTTTAGTGTCATTGCTCTGACAGTGGCCCTGAAGGTGTGGACAATTTATCTCACCATTAACAATCATCCAAAGAGGGGATTTACATGAAGCTATGCTATGACTCACTGCATATGTCATTAAGACATATAGTCTATTAGCCTGCGTTCCACCTCTAGAGTCACTCTGGGATTCTTTCTTTATGGGAAAGGCAGGAAATTTCTCTTTCTCTTAAAGTGCAGACTGTCTGATGCAAATATGAGTATAGTCAACCCTCTTAGCAGGCACTTGGTGACATGAACAGATCCACTGTTTAAAAAGACTTACACAAGCAAAGATGTGTAGCCTACGTACAGTAGTTTTCTTTTCACCTGTGTGAATGAGACTGTTTTGTTAGTTATTCACATACCAGGAGACAATAACACAATTTAGAATAAAGATTTCATTTAAACCGATGTGTACACAATGTGTAATTGTCATGGGGTTAAATGGAGATACCAGAGCATTTAGAAAGATGACAATGAACCCTATAAGACCATGTGTCAAAATGCATCTTTTTATTAAGAAGAAATATGAACACTTTTTATTGTAGTCTTTAAATTGCCACAAAACCTTATGCCACAAGATAATTTACATTGTCAGACCTTTAATGTTTTCAAGTCAAACCACCTTTGTTACTGCTGCCTGTCAGGTTAGTCTCTTCATCCTGAATAAATTATGATGACATGTGAAAATCTCAACCTGACAGAGAAAGAGGTGTTCTTTTTCTTTTTTTCACCTTAAATGATGAGATCCGCTATCTTTGAACAATGTGTTGCACCTAATATAAACTAATGTTTTTGCACTATGCTATTTATATTTATAGTGCAGACAATGGCTGTCTCTAAGTCATCTCTATCACTTGACATGTACCCACGTCTGTGCTAATTCAATTTAAGATTCAGATAGCAACTGTTAGTGCACTTGTGAGTGTGATTTCAAGTGTGTTTACAAGTTTGAATCCAGCGTCTTCAAAGGAGACAGTGACATGCAAAATTAGTTTCTAACTGGTGGAGATACACAAAGGCATCTGTGGCTGAAGTGATGAACATCACTCAACAGAAATTCAGTATGTGTTAATATAATGGAACCGATACCCAGTCTCTGTTTTTACTGCCCCTGTTGCTTATGGAAAGAAAATATACTGAATTTGGCCAGAAAGTAATTAATACCTTCTGAGGCATGAATGATTACCTAAGTGCTTGTGAGGCCCAAATTTCTTAACAGGTGAGAGGCAAAATTATTCTTTGTGTAGGCAGGAAACAATAAAGAAAAGGCTTGTCTGGCCCCTCAGTTTGCCTTGTTAAAACTATCTCTGAATAATGGATAGGTTTATTTCATTCCCCGAGGCAAAAGTCATTTTATGACTAACCTGCAAAACAGCTCCTGTGGAATGCCGCAGAGCATTTCTAATGTCATGGTAATAACTTTACACTTTTTGTCTTGATTTCCTCACAGGCAATTTCATTTCTTACCCCACTGGCGGTCATATTTGTGGTGAAGATAATCCAGAGGACGGACAAGACAGAGATCAAAGAGGCATGCTTAGGTATGCGAAATTAATTGAAATGTCATGAATTTGTTGCTATTAGTCACAATCTTACCTATAAGAGGTCTTAAAATGCACACACTGTACAGTGCTGTGCTTTCTGGGCACTTTTAATAACTTTACTAATGTTCTTGCTCTTTATTATTTTTCATCTCTGTTCTGTTCTACTGTACATGGAGATCTTTCAACTCTGTGACCTACTGTGACAGAGTATTTAAACCTATTTAAATTGTCAATGTGACTTTAATGTCAGGCAACATCTGGGCAAAGTGATTTTTTTTTCCTGTTTAATGTTTACCCCTGGGTCGAGAGGCCTGCAGAGGCGGTGGCACATCAGAGAGCGTTAAGAAAGTTGAACACAAATCCAATTAAAGAGACAAAGAAATGAATCGGTTGGAAAGAGGGTGACTGAGTGCATCAGTGTAGCGATCGCAGTGCTATGGAGAACATAACGGGCCCATTACAGCCTGCAGAGAAATATTTCCATGTGGCTTTATAGCTGTGCAGGAAGACATCATCACTCAGAAGAACAAAGAGTAAAAGAGAATGCATTATTTTGACAAGTTTCTACAGTACATGATCATAACTGTGAACATGGCAGTGTTACCTCTAGACCTTAATGATATCATAAAAGCAGTTTTTTTTGGCTGGGTGAGCAGTAAGAAAAGCAACTCAGTTTTAACTACCTACAAACCTAAGCTAACATCATAACATGATCTACAGTATTCCCATTAATTTATTAAGTTTAAAATTGCCCCTGAAGGCTCTCAGACTCCAAATTCATTAATCAAAATTTCAAACACATATAATTGAGTTGGCATAAACAAGAGTTTGAGTTAGAATTTTACAATACCAATGGGACACAGTGCATTGTGCTATCACAATGCATCTTTATTTTTCTTTGGAGTATGAAAAACAAAATGTTCCATTTGCATTAAACTCTTTATCATTCCCGGTTCCCTGCAGCTTAATTGTGTGATAATCTGTCAGTCGGGCAATAATGAACCGTTTTGGAAATTTGACTTTATTTTCCAAAAGACTGCAGAGATGACTCTACACTGACTGCTTTACATTCTGGTTACAAAGCATGAAGAATATTATTTGTCATCTGAATGTGAGATTTCAGAGGCTTTATTGTTCAGTGTGTCTACAGGGAGTCACTTTCAGTGTATGAGACAGTGAGAGTGTGTGGTCTCTGCATATTTGCTCTAATGTGCCAACGCTTTAACCCCACAAGAGTGTGTGGTGTTACACTATTGGGCCGATGTTCACCTGCATGTTCAGTAGCAGTTTACTTGGGATGTCTTTACCTTAAGAGAGTTTATTCAAGTCAACCAATCTGCAGTAAATTGGCCAAATCACTCTGAAGCTGAATAAGAAAGATTCTAGCGATTTAAATTAATTGCTAAAAACTGTGCCTTAGTGCAACCACTGGTGCAAACTCTGGGGTGCAAGTGCATGTGAATGTGATCAGTTTTGGTGAGCACAGTGCTGGCACAGCACAGACCAATCTGGCAAAGACACTGAAGCAGGTTGAATGCACTATTAAGAAGGGGAATGCAGTATCAGCAGGTGCATTTGTAGCAGGTTTCCAGAATGACCAGTCACATCACCACCTCATATTCTTTAAAAGTAGTGGGGCAAGTCCAGGAAGCACAGATATACTGGACAGTTTGCCTCATTACTACTGGTATATAGCACCAAATATGTTATAAAAGTAGATGTCTTTATGAGTTTGATTAGTTGTGCTGTTCAGTCTAACTTTTTAATCGGCAGAAGCAGTGTCATAGTTGTGTCATAGCTGTGGCCAGCAGAGAATTAATTAATGATTTTATCGCCATCAGCAAATTTAGGAAGGCTAGACATGAGAAAATGCATCTGGAACAATATTTTTATTAGTGCCACACCTCCTCATACTGAGTCAGATCTGACACACAAAGCACTTTGCAATTTAGGATCCCATTTCTGAGCTGGTTTAATGGAACGTATCACTTTAGGTTTTTATCTGACCTGCACCAGGTTTGCCTCAAATTAACAGGCTGTTAAATAACATTGACACCATGCTCTTCTCAGCAGTTCGGGGAGATAATACATTTGAGTGCTGGTGACATGGGGTGAATTCAATTGGCCTGCAGACTGCAGTGACTAACCTGTGAGGGCAGGCACTCTGGCTAATGATGGGCCACAGTGGTTTGTTTCATAGCTAATGAAATGAACATACAGTTGCAGTACATGCTGACTTATCGACTTACTATAGTAAGTTTTATATAAAACTGAGCTCTGTCACATACCTTCTAAGTATGGTAGGTGCGGGTGTACTGTAGGATCATTTTGTCATTTTGTGAGATTCTTCCTGGACCCAATTAAATATTTATTGGCATTAAACTGTACCGTGTGCACAGCTTTTCTTTTATTCTGATGACAAAGGCTATAGCAACTGTTCCATGGATGAATATTGCATTTGGCACCCCTCAGGAGGAATTGTAATAACTCTGGTGATCCCTTGACCTTTCCTTTAAGCTATGCAGGTGAGAATTTGAATTTGTTAAATGCCTTGTTTTATTACTACATACTTGCAAAATTTTATTTCTATTCCCATTAGCCTCAGCTGTACTTTGTGCTTGTGTGTATTTCATAGGTGTTCCTAATATTCTGAACCTCTTATGTATGCAACTGGGGAGGGCAAAAATATAGAAAAACTTTTGAATATAATGTAGTCCAGCACAACACCACCTGTCATTCCCATTAGCCTCAGCTGTACTTTGTGCTTGTGTGTATTTCATAGGTGTTCCTAATATTCTGAACCTCTTATGTATGCAACTGGGGAGGGCAAAAATATAGAAAAACTTTTGAATATAATGTAGTCCAGCACAACACCACCTGTCACTCAATAATAAACATATAATTTATACATTTATGATAATTTCACCAAAAACATTTTCATAAACACAGATGTTAAAGAGGAAGTGTTGCATTGAAGTGTCTGCAACTATACAGGTGTACCTAACAAAGCGGCTGGTTTCAAGCTCGGGTCCTCTACCAGAGGCCTGGGAACTTGAGGGTCCTACGCAGTATCTTAGCTGTTCCTAGGACTGCACTCTTCTGGACAGAGATCTCAGATGTTGTTCCTGGGATCTGTTGGAGCCACTCTCCCAGTTTGGGGGTCACAGCCCCCA